ACAGATATATGTTTCGTCGTTTCTTTAGCATTGAAGTTTTTTACGGTGGAAGGGTCGCCGGCCCTTCGCACCAACCCTCCTCCTTTCTCATCCACATCCATATATGTATGGTAATATAAGATTTTGAAGGCTTACCCAAGAACTCAAATAACAGGAGTAAAATTTCATTCCTGAGAATTAGAACTTCACTATTGGTGTTTTGTGTGAAGAGTTTGTTTCAAGTGTGGCATTAGTATCGGCTGTACTGTACTTCACTGTTCTCGATCGCTGATGTGATATTACAAGTGCAGTACCTGGCCATGGCCAATTGATATGCTCGTGCGTTTTTCCTATGCCATGCTAAAAGCTGCCTTCCAGCCCTTTTAGTTCCACCTGCTTCATAGAACATGAGTTCCTGCGTTACCTCGGAAATTCCATCAGAAAACTTGGCCACATCCATATATGTATGGTAATATAAGATTTTGAAGGCTTACCCAAGATCGAGTGAGCGTTGTGCACGTAGTGGCGTATTCCATCTGAATTTTTCACATACGGAACTCACGTACATCGGTCGTTTCAATCGCTCCGCCCCATTCAAACAACGAGTAAACAATGGTGTGTTGATCACTGGTATCATGCTATAGAAAGCACGTGCATTCATTCATGGACGGCAACAAAATCGTTGAATGCAACCATTGCTAGCAATGTCCCCGTCGAATGTGCTTGAAGCTTATTTTCTTTAATTTCCTAGCGGAACCATGATCCCATTCACCGGGCTCCCTTTTGCTTGACTTCTCAACTTTAAATTATTGTGTTCATCGAAGTTGCATCTATCAGTTATCCACGCTTCATCCTCCCTCGAAACATTCGCATCCAAATTCATAACTTTCAGATGATTTCCTCATTTCTTCCTATAGTGTCGATGTGATTTTCCAGGTAGCCCTCCCCAACAGATGGTTTTTGACCGGACTTCGAACCAGCTACCTGAATTTTCTGCAAAATTCCGAAAGGCAACCAGTTAACCTTCAACTAAAAGCATATCAAATCTATGCCAAATGCTGGGAAGGAAAACTCAATCCTACTTCAGTTCTTCCGTCTGAATGCATGTTCTCAGCTATCAAGCTCATCTCGTACCTTCGCTACCTTTTGACATTGCAACTTCAGGAGCGCTGCACATCAAAAAATGGGGAAACTGATGCTGGTTCACCAATGCTAGCCATCTTTTACCTTTTGCGCGTAGGACTGTAGGGTGTTCAGTGGTTGACGTTACGTCCGCTACTATTCTCTCCCTTGAGATACTTTCTAAGCAATGAAACATTCTGTTAGTAGGGGCTAAAAATTTGAATTTTGGATCGTAGTGGGTTCATTCGCAGCCCAAGTTAGTGTTGTGGCCCCTCAAATAACGTCGATGGTGCTGTCAACCCTTGAAATAAGAATGGTGAGGGGGTGATTCTGAAGGGAAGGAGCATGCCAACCATTAACCATGAAAAGGGTCTGTGATTGCGCCACGATCAGCTTGGTTCTATGAGGGGAGCATCTATAAATTTATCTTCAGACTTGGACTAATCTAGATTTTCATAAAGGCTCTTTGAAAAATGGCAGTTATTAAATATTATTTGGTATTATCAAAACTCACTTCTCTCACCTTCTTATTCCACTTTCGCTTTAGTATTTTTTCAGAATAGCTCAGTCTAAGAAGTGAAATAAAAGTTTTCACTTGCAGATTCTATGCAGACGCACACAATAATTATTGTTCTATGGAAATATCGTTTGAACTTGACAAAACTACGGAAGCCTGGCAATGTGAAGCTTTTCGTTGTTGGACCACCAAGGACCCTGATCGACGAAACAAGGTACAAAGTCTTTTTTGAGTTCGAATACACGGAAAGCTGCGGTCCGTTACTATCGCAGAAATTTTAAAGTTTTTATTTGTTCTATATTCAATAAGGTTACTGTAAAAATATGATCACTTTGGTTGGTACCGAATATTTATTAGCAATGTGTTTAGTGTCGATGTCTTTTACCAAGTTGAATCACCGATCAGGGATCATGATCACCTTCAATTATTACAAAAGGTAGGTAATATCTTCAGCCACTGCGAAATCCCGAATGAAATGATCTATGCCTTTCTTATATTTAACTTGAGGCCTTTTGAGTCAACTTTCAGATGTTTCCTTTCCAGGTTAGGGAACTTTGTTCAATGTATGCGGCTTCACAGCGACGTATTGTAGCTTTCGAACGTAGCCTACAGAAGGCAGTTGCCCGCATTAGGAAGGAAATGAGTATTGAGGTCAGTTAAAGTTAAATTAAAGTATAAAATTTATTGGTGTTATCGTCTTTTTGGGATGCACCCCATCCCCCTCCCCGAATTCCTTTCCCATTAAAGTTGTAGTAGCGTGTTGAATGCGCATGTGGCTTGTACAACGACNGACAGCCCATGTACATCAGCCAGCATACAGCCGATGTCAGTGCTTTTATCATCCCACACGAGTCTCTTCTGATACCAATAATCCACTCCGGAGGTATAGATGGATCCGCAGCTTGGTCTCTGGACCACTGCCATCTCGAGGTTAGCAGAGATAAAACGAGGAAAGGCATAAGGTCTTATCATTTACAGGGCTTCCTGCCTGAACAACTAGAACAACTACTAAACGTGCGTGATGCTATTCATAATCCACGAAAGAATGGGCTGGCCACATTACGGTAGGTTAAATTCTCAAGTATGTTTGATGTGCTTTATTTGATTTATTCATTGTGCTTCCAATGCACCCAAGGGTGCTCCACAGAACGCAAATGAAGAAACTAAGTGGCAGTGTCCAAGCTCGAATAATGGAAAGAAAAAGAAGGGAAGTTTGAACAAGGGGAAGCTATGCAACGAGATAGAGAGGCAGGCAGATGTACAAGAAGCAGTTTATCTTTCAGCATAAATCTAGCGAGGGTTGGTCGAATTAGAAAGATGTGGGGTCTTGTTTTTTTGTGCAGTCACCGGTCAGGGACTTGAGACGGTTACGGTGAAGATAGACTTGGAGAAATGAAGGCATGGCTTCTTCACGACTTGCCATTTGAAAAATCCCATTAAAAAATATTTGCGTTTCTCTGCCACCAACAATGCCTAGAAGGGGTGACTTTGGAGATGAATTTATTTCTTAAATTGATTGAATCATTTTTATTTTAAACTGCTAGGATTTTGTCCCAAGTTTTTCAGCCAATGCTCCCTCTCCGGTAGCCCACAACCAGAACCATGGTTGGAAGCGGTCCGTTCGCAAGTAGGCGGTTTCCCAGTAGTGGTGCGATGTGCACGAGAAAAACCGCAAGGTATTCTGCGTACTGAACGGGAATTTCGGCAGTGGTTTAGGGTCAGTGAGCTGATTCTAACTTTGTGGATCGGAGCCTTTCCAAAGTTTTCTGATTCGACTATATCCATGACTTTAGCGTACTTCTACGATTCACCATTGTGGTGAGTACGTGGTTCAAGAGTATGTTGAAGATGGATACGAGTTCACCGCATTGTGCACTGCTAAAGGAGGATTAGTCGGTATGTCGCCATTTTGAAGCGAAAAACAGTGATCAGGATAAAAGCAAAATGATATTTCCTGTCAAAAATAGGTGTTGGAGTATTGAAGAGTAAAAGAAGCCTTCTGTGCTAACTACCCTCAAGAATTATCAAGAGAAAATGTAATGTCAGGAGGTGAGGGCCCTAAAAGTGAAGGAGAGAGTGGGGAGATGTGCGGAGTAGCAGGAATTGGGTATGGAAAGAGGAACGGTAGCTAACACTCATTTTCTCGGCATCAGTTAAAGGCGCAATTTACGATAAAAATGATGTCTCAATCTCCCTTTAGGAACACCTAATGGCCCCTAAGGATAACAGGGAGGACGCTGTCGAGTTCAGAACTCAACAGCTAGTGCATAGTGGAAGCCATGTTACCGGATCGCCAGCATTTCCCGCCCTTCGACCGATGTCATGTTTGAGGGGGAGGCGTCAGCGCCATTTGTACTCTGCGTCTCTGACACCAGACCGCAGAGTGCGTCGAAATCGCGCTAGTGGAGGAGATCCAGGGTTGGGTGAGATGATTACTCGTGCAAAAAGCTGAACAGCAAACCATCTCTGCGCTCGAGCGTGATCGTTATGCACTCTGCTGCCTCATGTCAGAGAAGCAGAGCGGAGCGTCAAGTCGCCAAAACAATCCGTAGATTGAGGTATCTTCGACCCCCCAACCCCCTAACAGCAGTTTTCGAACTACTTTGTCTGCTGAAAAGGAATATTAGTTTCTCCGGATCATAAGAAGTTTGATATTCACTACTGAATCAGTTTCTATAGTGAACATAGAATCAATAAAGTTAAATTACGATGAGGCAATCGTAATCCTTTTCCAGCTTGTATTGCGTCCGTAGAAACACATCGTACAATACTTGAATGTATTCAAAGTCAACTGCCATACGCTGTCCAGTTGTTCAGCGTGGAACAGACACGAGACCATCTACCTGGTGTGGAATCATTCGTTACTCAGGTACTATCAAAGTATCGTAATCCATGAAAATTCTATGGACGGGTCTAATGGCAGATATTCTAGGTAATCAAAGCGACCTTCGCAAAAGGCTACACGGGTGCTATATTTATTAAAGGATTCTACAAGGTAGGTACCAGTTGATTTTCGCCTGGAATACAATTGTCCCAAAACACGACTTTCGACTTTTCCCTCTTACTATGCCACTGATGACCAGCGTGAATGGCGCCATACAGTTCCTGCTACATGCATAGTGCCACCTCTGCCTGAGAGGGTGGGCTCGAACGTTAGGAAGACCTTTGTTATTTCGCCCTTTATAGTGTTTCATAATTTTTTTCAAAACCTTCTCAGTATGGAATTTCAGGATCACAATGACATTTTCTTTCTTGGCTTCGCCTTAGAACCAGAATCAGAAACACTTCGATCGCTGATGGCTATATCACGATCTTTAACACCGTGGGAGACGATGGTGATCGAAAGTCACTATGAAACTGATGAGAACCTCAAGGTAATTGGAAAGCAAGGCTTATCAACATTTATCAATCACAAAAACACGAACCGGTCGACTGCTGAACTGCAAGTCAGTGCATCGCCTTCATTCTTCAGAAATCTGAAGGCATTGACTCCTTATATTGTACCTTACAAGGAACATGCGATGAATTTTTAGGGTATTTAGGAGCCTTTGTCAAATTTAACGTTCCTGCTCAAGCCTTCAATCCTTCGGAAAAGATTCTTAGTTTTTGACTTGATTCAGAACGGATATGCCACTTCACCATCAATGCATCACTGTGTTGTTAACTTCCCTACCGCTGAGGGAGTCTTGATTCATCAAACGTCCATTCCTAGAAGGTGTGTTTATCGGATGAATCGGATTGACTTTTTATTTACAATTTCATGAATAGTCAGCTTTTCTGAAGCGAGACTCTACCGCCATCAGAATCTCCGAACTAAATTTTCAGGCCGACCAGCGAAATGCGGGTGGCATGGAGATGTGCTGAAGGTCAAGAAATGAACGACAGCACCACAATAGACGATAACGTCGCTCAGGTAGATTACTTCTTGGGCTGTCGCTTTACAATTCAAAGTACAAGGGCAATATTGAACGGTGTTTTGCAGGTGTACCTCTCCAATATGGACCACACGAATTTAATCAGGGAAGCTCAAGATATCATGCAAAACACAGATATCACCATTGATCGTAATGTACTACTGGACCGTCATTCGGTGTGCCGTCGTAATGTATCCCGATTGAATCCACGGGAATTGATCAGAAGCTGTACCACAACCGACTGATACCAATCGCTCTTTTAAACTAACTTCTGCACGACCATACAATAGGAGAATATTCATATAGCCTCGTAGGCCCACCTTTTCATAGGGTAAAATATTAGCTTCGAATGCACCTGTCATAGAGGCGCACTTTGGGACACTGTTCAAGGCGAACGCATCGGCCAAGATTTTTGGTGTGCAACTGTAGTAGGACAATTGTCCCTCTTTCAAGTGGATAGTGAGCTGTGGGGGAACACCTTTTGGATGACCAAGTAGTGAAACGGTTTTCAAGAGGTGAGCACCATCCCTACGGATGTTCCCAATAACTTTTTAGAAACAAGTAACCACTTTGATTGCGGAGTGGGAAAATATTCACTATGTTGACCCAGTTCCGCAGCTGTAGCAAGTCACGTCCGCCTCACCGTGAGCAGTACCTTAAGATAACCTCTTGATGAATTTTTTTCCATGATAGCTCGACTAGGCTTCGGTACTTCCACCAAATCATTCATAAAAGCTATTTTGCTGTCACGAACTGCGAATGTAACGAAATCGAGTTGTGTACACCTTAAGACTGCTAGCAACTTCTAAGTTGATCTGGCTGCAAGGTCAAAACATGGTGAATACCCTAGGAGTCCTGGGTGGCGGACATTGTACCCGAATCCCTTCTGCTGCAGGCACGTACCTGGCAGTGCTTCCTGAGGACATGCCCTGATCATCAATTGGGCATTCGAATTCTGCTCTTCACTGGGTGCTTTTCAGTCCCCGCCGACGTGCACTGTTTCCACCGACCAACCGACCGACAGCGTTGCTAGCCACGTGTTTAAGTCACTGGACACCGATGCATCACCCGCCCTCACGCCTCATGCGACCCTTAACGCGATCTGTCCTGCGCTGTCTACGTGGCCAGAAACGCCGTCGGTCAGTGAGTTGGTGAAAAAATGCACGATGGTGGAGTTTGAAAGCTCTCGTACACGATATGGATGCAGCATGCCATTCGGGTACAAGAACCCATACCCGAGAATCGCAGAGTTCTCTTCGCGTTTTTGATAGATACATTGAATCGCTACATTCTAAACATTTTATTATATTTCTTTACTCGCTCGATATTCTTGGAAAGATGTCCCTTCCATTTCTGTTATATACCGGTGTCATTACTGTGATCATATTGAAACCCATATCAAGTTGGAAATGCATTGCAATTGCAGCAACTGAACCCCGGTCTCAAAGGACGGGTCACGTCATGAATAAATGAGTTTATAAGAGTTTCTTATACATGAGAGCATATGAAATTTCATCTAGGGCTTCTGTATGACGATGAAGTACGCCTGCATTGCTGCCTTATTGATTCGTTTAAGGAACACGATCTTTCTTTGCAAAAGTATGCGTTATTGATTCGTACAATGGGCACGACTTTCTCTGCAGAAGTAGACGCGAGTAATTCCATCGGTCTATTTCTCCAACACGGACCCTTCAAATACAACCAGGGAAGCTCAAGATATCATGCAAAACACGGTTTCACTATCGATCATTATGTTCTACGCATTCGTCATTCGATGTGTCGCTGCAAAGTATCCCGGGTGAATTTACGGGTACTGATCAAAAACCATACGAAAGTCGCTAATTCCAGTTGCTCGTCTGAACTCTCTCGTGGAGATCCTACGATAGGAAGCAAAATCGTCTTAGGTCCATCAAAGGAACTTCTCAGTAATAGAGCTGAAATATCAGCTCTGAGTGTACCTATTATACAGGGTGGCTGAAAGTAGTGGACGCCTCATTTCTGAGTGTACCTTCAAAGATATAGGACAGGAATTCATATCTACTTTATTGAGGGTACAAGTAGGGCTGCGTGGTCGCTTAGGACGGAAGGCGTTCAATGACGAATCTTTCGCTTTCACATAGACGTCTATGACGTCTAGACGTTCGATAACTGAACCAACAGCGGGCTGGAGGTGTCAACGTCGATATCGTCCCACGCCTACTGTCGCACCAACGCTAGGGCGTCCAGAGAGCAGTTTGAGCTTCCTGCGATCTGCTCATCAAATACCCCCATACAGAGATGTCTACTGGTGTTGGTCTGGCGAAGAGGAAGATCAGATATTTTTGCCTTAGTACCCGGAGTACTGCGGAGCGAGTGCCGCTTTCGTCAATTTCAAGGCATGTTAAGGGGATCAATTTTGTTGAAGGACGAACGATCGGTCACGGGAGTGCTTAGCGACCAAGATGGACACAGCGTCCACTGAAGAAGATTTTGGCAAACCTCAGAGTCGATCTTCCCATTTTTGTCGATGAAGTCCACTTTGCTTTGCATTCTAATGTCAGCCCAGTCCAAAGAGCCACACTTTCGGGAGATAGTGGGCTATGCTCACGACGACGTTTTGGGAACGCATCGTCAGCTTTTAGCTATGATTGTCTCTGGATATGACGGTTTCAAAATGTCCCACGGTGGAACTTTTTCCATCTGNCTCGGAAAAGTTTTTTGCATTTCATCAGCACTTCCGGAACAAGTTGTTCTCGACAGAGCCGACAACTGTTCTGTTTTGGGCAACGTTCCACTCTTCTGAACACTTTGAAGACTGATATTGAGGTGGGAAGCGATCAGATTAGTGCGGACTCCATCGTTGTGAGCGATTCCCATCTTAATAATGTCACGAATCTTCGGTAGGTTCATTTTCCCGATCGTCCACTTTTTGGCACCTCAGAACCTTGTCCTCGGGACATTTCGAAGGGTTTAAGAGGGAACGCCGAATCGTTTCTTGATGTCACAACTCCTAAAACTTTCTCTGAACAGCTTCTCGATGATAGGTCGATGCGCAGGAACCTTCATAGCGATGGCTCAGGAGGAAGGCCAATCAAATGACAAATACGGATTTTTGCACCATTGAGAGGTGTCTGATATGTGTTCAATGTTCAATTAGGTGGTTGATTCGTGTTCAATTTGCTTTTTCTCGGTGCCATGCTTACGTGAGCAAACGGCACCAAGCATGCGTAACTTTCCAACAGCCGAAAACGTTCGGAAAGTATCTGCAGAAAACTTTGCATCAGCCCGGATTCAATTCTGCAGTTCTTTGAGATTCTCCATGATTCGCAATGTGAAGAAGCTACCCAATCATGTGAGTTTGAATGTGCAGCTCCCTCTTCATTGATTACCTGATGAAGATCAGACCATCTTCCGAGACACGCACTTCTTTACTATCATATTTCGAATCCGCTCATTCCGCTGCTGAAGCCTATCGAAACTTGTGTGAAGAACTCGGCTTAAAAGCAATCCCAAGCGATAACGTGAAATCTCTAATGTGGTGTGATCCGAATCCTTCCCGGAGACTACGATCCTGTGACCGAATTACCAGCATTATCACCAGTGCTATTCCCCCAGGTGGTGACATTTCTACGAGTGTTGCGAAGCGGCAATGATTTCGCGGCGATTACCGTATCACTCTACCAAAAGCTGGATTTGCTAGAGCGGGCAACAGGGTTGCGGCAAGCGCGGACACCAATCGAGCAGGAGATACCACACTTCTTAACCCCACACCTTCGCCATTCAATACAAAGATTTCAAATCCGACCTACCCACTGCTACCACCATTGTTTGGTGTGAAGGCAGATTTCAGGTTGATGGTCACTATCACAAATTTCAAAATATGAAACACACAAACAGATGCGTTTCAGGGGTGATTCATTTCGTAAATCCAGCTTCAGCAAGTGGCATCTCTTCATCAAATCACTTCGACGATCAAGTGGCAGCCCTTCGCAGCAGACTTATTGACTTCTATTACTATATACTAACCAGATGGTAGAAGAATGGTGAAGCTGCTACTTTTATTTGAAAGTAAGTTGTAACTCTGGAAATTGCTTGGCTATGTGTCATGGCAAACATCTGCATGCAAGCGGTTCTGCTCCCAGACGAGTCATTTCTCTTAGGCAAAATGACTCTAAAATGAGCTCAAGGAGCATGGAAATAGCAATAAATCATAGAGGTACTACCAGACAGTATGTCTACATGTGTGTGCGCTTCGCAGCTTCAGTAGGAACTAGAAATACTGAGGAGCCCGAGCTTATAACAGACCTATCGGCACGTGGATGGAATGATTGTGATAGGCATGACAACCCACATTGGGAAAGGCGATTGGCCGGTCTCACCGGAGACGTGAAAAAAATGAACCTACTTCAGCTTCTCATTCGGTATCGATAATGTTGATAATTACCGAACTGCAAGACAATTTGAAACCTTGATGAACGATGAAGGAGCTTTGAATAATGATTACATGAAAGATTGTCTGGAAAAGTCTTACATTCATATGTTCATCGTCAGCAGCAGTATCGTCTCCCTGCCTGGTCTTCTAGACCTTTCATTATTTTCGAGCAGAGCGTGCTCGCCGTGTTTGTTGTAGGGGAGTTACAAGGAAATATGGTTTTAGATGGTAAAGCAATAGCATCCAACTATCCATCACGGGCACACTTCTTTCCGCGCGTCCATCGAAACTAGGTCACGCCGCAGCCTCGCACTCGGCATATCAGCCCGCGATCTTTGACAAAGGTCGCACTTCTTAGCGGGGCGCTCAGTCCACGGCAGTCAGCTTAAAGAGAAGATAACTTGAACTAGCGCAAATCATCCGCTCTTAATTTCTCGACGTTTAACTTTATCACCAGCAAAGGCTGCACTGAACACCCGATGCTTGACGACCCACTTCCCGCAATGGGTGAGCTGACGGTGCTCAGGACGTGCGTCTCGACTAGCGAGCCCTAGTTCCATAGGCCCTATTTGCTGCTGCCCTATTAGGGAAATCTGTGAAGAGAAGGGAACAGGAATAATTTCCTAACGCTGATCTTTCCTAATGTGCAGTGAAGGACTGAAAAAGAACATTATCCCGCAACTTAATAGCTTCTACGTGAAGAACTGCTGGTAACAGCCCAAAATGGAAAGTTCACAAAATGAAGAATCACAATCGAGAAGCCTCGGCTCACCGGAACAGTCCAGTACTTGAAGTGTTCGCCGTTCAGCTGAGCCCCTCAATTGCACCTGGTCA